GTGTTGGGCACTATACCCAAGAAATACACATTGCTTTGATCGAAACATAAGTTTGCGTTGATTGTATGGACGAAGATTAGACCAACATGCACACCCAAAAACACGTAGAGACGTGTAGGTTTGGTGTGGAGCAGCCGTTCTACTGGAGTTTCATTATTGATAACGCGACTAGGAAGCATATTAATGATGTGGACAGCAGTGAGAAAAGCTTCATCCCAGAATTTTAAAGGCATGGAGGCGCCAGCTAAGAGAGCTAGGCCGACCTCAACAATGTGCCTGTGCTTGCGTTCAGCAGAGCCGTTTTGTTGGTGAGCGTGGGGGCATGACACATGATGAGAGATTCCAAGAGTTTGGAAGAAAGAGTTTAATTTCTCATACTCTCCACCCAGTCTGATTGGACAGCAAGTATCTTGCTGTCAAATTGACATTCAACGAGTGCTTGAAAATTCTTAAAGACTTGAAAAACATCGGATGGTTTTTAAGAAGATAAATCCAGGAGAATTTACTGTAGTCATCAATAAAACTCACATAGTATGTATGTCTACCTACTGAGTTGGGGGCAGGACCCCACACATCTGAAAAGATTAATTGCAATGGTTTGATAGACACACTGGTGGATATAGGATAGGGCAACTGATGACTCTTAGCTCGTTGACAGGAATCACAAATAGTTTCAATATTACGCTCACCAACAAACGGGAGTTTATTTTTCCTAAGTAAGTTTTCAACTAAAGAAAAAGAAGTATGTCCTAAACGATCATGCCATCGTGTGGATGAAAGCTTGATAGCACCACAAGCTTGTTTATTCAGTCTCCTAAGCTCCGGATCAACGGGTAGAGTCCACGAACGCATCTACCTCGATAGAGAATTTTCCTCGTCACCTGATCCTTGATCAAAAAGAAGTAAGGGTGAAACTCAAGGAAGACATGATTATCAAGAGCAATTCTATGGACAGAGAGGAGACTTTTGTCGGCATTAGGGACATGCAAAATTTTTCTAAGATGGATTTTACGAGAAGGGGTACTGAAACTTGAATGACCAACGTGACTGATCTTCATACCTTCACCACTAGCCGTGTGGATTTGGTCCTTGCCGCGGTATTTCTCCTTCATGGTTACCTTCTCGAGCTCGTTGGTGATGTGATTTGTGGCGCCACTGTCGACATACCAGTTGGTGTCGACGCCATCGGAGCCATCTGCAGCCGCTGCCACCTTGTCATCATCTTGAAAGGAGTCGTCATCCTCGGCATAGCGGTACCAGCAATCTTTTGCTGTGTGCCCCAACTTGCCACATATCTGGCAGCGAGGAGCATCAGGGCGTGCGCGAGGGTTGCCGCCGCCGCGGCGAGTGCGGTTGTTGGAGGAGACACGCCCGCCGTTGCGGGAGTTGGAGCCGCCACCGTTCCCGCCTCCACTGGACCTCCCCCTGCCACGGGAGAAGCCGCCGCGCCGAGAGGAGCCGCCACGACCATGAGAGGCTGAGTTTGCGGAAGACTTGAAGCCACCGCCACCAGATCCGTGGAAGTGCACCATCCTCTGATCAAAGTTGGAGAGCATAGCGAACAGCTCGTCGAGGGTGACAGGGGTCACGCGAGCGTCGAGAGCAGAGATCAGAGGATGGTAGTTAGCGTCGAGGCCGTGGATGATGTAGAAGATGAGCTCGTCGTCGAGGATCGCCTTGCCCGCCGCGGCCAGCTCGTCGGCGTAGCCACGCATGGTGGCGAAGTAGGAGGCGACGGAGAGGTTGCCCTTCTGCGCATTGATGAGAGAGGTCCGAATATTGTTGATGCGACTTACTGATTGTGACGAGTACATGCCGGCGAGCGTCGTCCAGAGCGCGCCCGCGGTGGTGACCGTGGTCACCGTGAGGAGCACCTCCTTTGTGAGGTTGCTCAGCAGGTAGCCAAGGACCTGCTGGTCCTCCCGGACCCAGATTGGGTGGAGAGGGTTGGGCGTTGAAGTCTGCTTGCCTTCCTTGTCGGTGGTGACGAGCAGCTTCGCCGGTTCCGGCTGGGTGCCGTCGACGTAGCCGAAGACCCCGACGCCGCGCAGTTGAGGGATCATCTGCGTGCGCCACAGCATGTAGTTCGTGCGGGATAGCTTCTCGGTGACCTGGCCATTGAGATTAGCCGGGAGGGAAGCGCCGGAGGAGGAAGACATGGTGGCTTCGGCACAGATGGTTTTGGTAGCTAGATGAGTTGAAGAAGAGGGGCTCTGATTACCATGTGTGAGCGGGGAAACGTCTTACCCTGATGGGGGCGACGTGTGCATGTTATATAGGAGGGAGCCAAAACCCTAGATGGCTTTACATGATGCGGTTACAAGAGGAGATAAGGGAGAATCAAGATACAACTTGAG